CAATGAACTGAGGGTACGCCGCCACGTTACTGTATCATTATGCGTACTGTATCATTGTACCGCTCAGCCGTGCAGCTCAAGAAAGCAGTTTGTCATTGACCCCTCGGAAGCCGCGTTATAACGGGCGCGTTCCACGTTGTTGCAAAAAAAATAGTGCCTGATTGGAAGAACTACGTTATAGCAAAAACGTGTTGTGTGAACATGCGTTAAGCGAGGACGTATCATACATTCGACAGAAAAAAGCCATGAGCCATGTTGGAAATGCTTTTTCTGATAAGTGTGTTTTTTTTGTATGTATATTCAGTTCAACTGGTGTTGTTCATGGTATTACTACCTGAGACTCCGCTAGAGGTTGCAGGGTCCATGAACGTTTATTAATACCTGTGTCGCTATTCCTAATTCGAGGATTTTCTGTCTGACATTTGCAGAACAGCATTCTCTGAGCTAAACATTTTGTTTTCAGCCAAAGTAGCTGAGCCGCAAATTAATCCTTGATGTCCATAGGTTACCTGCACGTTTTTTAAAATAAATTATGCCCATACATGATTTTGTTGCCAGGAAACGGGAAAAAAGTGCTCAAGATCCATTGCACAGACAAACATGTGTGGGTATTAAAATCTAAATAAAATTGTTAACGAATCTCCATTATTTGTAATATATTTAATCCTCTGTAGATGAAGGTGGGCCTAAACGTGAATTCATTCGCATTTGAATGCATTTAAAAGCACCATTAAGGCAGTTACGAGAGAGTCATTCCTATGCAAATACTGTATGTATTGCTTGGACAGTGGATGTAGAGGAGTTTGAACGTCTCCACCAATCCATGGGTAGTGCACTTGTTGAGTTTTCAACAGAGTGCATTTCATTGTTATGCTCTTCTTTTTATCCACACGATTTTGCAGATCCGTGGAGGCACGCAACTAAGTCACCCTGTAATATACTACTCTTTGGTTCTTTTGGTAAAGTCACGTAGGTAGAAATAAAATAAAATAAAGTTTATAGTGGATAATATGATACATTTGCTGATGAGGCCCTCTTTCTGCAAATAAATTGTGAATTATAAGTGTTATGATTTAATTTCCCAAAGTACATGCCATAAATTACATCACGATATTTTTGCAGATGAGAGGGGTTAATCACCAAATGCATCCGATTATCTATTTATAAACACATTTTTTTGCAGATGAGTGGACTATCTTAGGAGAAAAACAGGATCTCCCACGGATAAGAGTTCTTCTTCAGTGTTTTATGATTATTGCAGGGTTGTGCTGTCAGCAGAGAGCAGTGCAGCAAATTCCATAGTTTTGCTATACTTTGCTCCAAATCCGCAGCAGTGGACTGACAAAAAGGGTTGTATATGCACCATTATATAATCAGTGGCGTAGCTTGGTTAGCATGGGTTGTGGTGCAAGGAATTAAGTGGGACCCCTCTCCAATTTAATAAAAAAATGTATAGCCTGGTGCCTGGGCCACTGCAGGCCATGCCACCACTCAATGTGAATTGCCTTAAGCTGTGTGCGTGTGTTATCAATTCATGGTAACCTCGGCGAAATGCACGTTGTGTGCCGAAGGGGCCATCGTCGTCTCTTCATAAGTCTCCTCTTCGGCCATCTGAACGCCACAAAAACACAAAAGCCACGCAGCTTTACCATTAAGGCTAGTACATTAAACCCAGTCCTCAATGTGGCCATATCACTTTGCCAGATAATGCCTTGCCTGCTCGTGTTTTTTTTATTTGTGACAAATAGATTTAATGTGTCGACAACTGCCAAGCGTTTAATTAAATAAATGGTGCAACAATATTACAATGTATCCATATCAGCATGCTAATGACAATCCATTTCAGAATGGGGGGTGTCATACAATTAATGGGCTGATGATTTTGTGAGAATGTATATATAACTAGGGTTGATGTATCAACCGACATATGCCAGACACTACCAGCCACCACTTAGGTTACACCACCCACCAGATACCAGACATTCACCACTCACCTAACCGGCATTACTCATACCACTCACACACCACTCACAGAAACCATACATCTGACACATGACCCTCACCAGACAATCAAAAGGCAGCACCACTGCACACGATCCAATTGCACAATTTTATCCAGCAGGCAATGTGCGTTTAGTGGGTGGTCATGGCTTTTTTTTACCTACATCAAACCTATAGGTCCCTGGATTTTTCGCATCACTGTGTATCCTTACTAGACCCTCTGTAATGAAAGTTACTGACAGGCAAAAATATGGACAGATTTGGCGAAGATAAAGTTGCTAATAGACTGGAAGGTAGCCTGTGCTATAGATCAGATGATATAACCCTCACCAGGTACCACTCACCACTGACACCAGACATTTAAGCTCACCCCTCACATCACAAAAATGACACTCGGAAAATTATCAGCACGCGCCACACAATCCCACCACTCTCCTGACATCTGGCACACCACCCACCAGACAATCACCACTCACGTAACACCACTGAACACACATTCACTCACCACTCACCTGACCCTCACTTGTACTTTACTCACCAGACACTCCGTATTCACAGTCACCACTCTACCTATTAGAGTTTGTAGCAGGTGTTGTACTAGGTACTGTACATGTGGAGTTATACGATTCATCATCCTCAGCTATAATCTATCTACTGCTGGATGAAGGTCTCCCCTTGTAGTGAAGAAATGGTAATTTTGAACTCCTCCAACAAAGCCTTACATTCCAAACATGCCAAATATTCACCATACGAAATGGCCAAAACTTCCCAATGTAGCACGATCTTGAAAATATATTGGGACTTAATCAGGCTTTCCTGAATAAATTAAGGATATTATTACATATTAGTATGCCTTCATATACTGTATGGTGGAGGGGTAGAGTGTACTGTACTTTGAACCTGGTCACCTGAGTTTGATTTCATGCCACTGCTATCATCAGTGGCGAATTATATCGAAACTATTCCTCAGTGCATCCCTCCCCTTCACCAACAGTGCTCACCAACTTGGTGATGTATGGTCAAACAATCCTCATGACAGACACAGCATGGGGAGGCCTTCATCCAGCAACATGGAATTATTCCAGAAGGGGACCCCACAAAATTACTTCTGAAGTCTTCTCATTGGGTCACTTAAATTAATGATAGATGGTTTTCATGAACGCGTTGCACAGTAATAACTTGTCTAAGTAAATATGCTGCACATTGAAAGACATTTTCTCGCAACTGGGCACTTTCAACTTAATACATTTTCTTCCACTGGGTTTATACAAAATTAAGTTTTACACCAACCATAGGACCCTGTCATGCATGTAACTATATTGCATCTTAACTTAAAACGTGGATTTCCGTAGCAAATAAAATTATCCATATTTGTTGTTGGGTGAGACCAGGGAGTGTTTTATGCCAAAATTACTACGTGGTCTACCCCAAAAACAAATATGGATCATAATGCAATTAAGTTTCAGGTTACAAAGCAACAGTTACAACAGTTGCATAGTTACAATTCTCATTGTATATACTGACCGTTTGTAGATTGAGCACAAACTGATCAGCTTAACACTGACCAATTTGGTTGGCACTTTGATTAACTATAAAATGGGCCTCAAGCCCGAGTCTTAAGGAGTGGGCATTGCAGTGAACTTTAATTTGCTGTTGAGGTAGTGGTTTGTAGGAAATACAAGAATGCAATACCTTTACAAACTAAACAATGGCGGTGTTTGCGTGATAAAGTACAGCAGGGAGGTTAAACAACAGTGTTCACATTTCTAAAAAATTATACGGATTTTAAAGTCACTAACATCACCACTTACCTCAGAAGATGTATCAGGAAAATCCTCATCTAGAGATGAGAAATAAAACACAATTTACCGTTATAATGATTCATCCCCCTCCACTCGACATAATGAATTTACATCGAGGTCCCGCACTTTTCATATCAGGGCTATACGAGACATTCGACCACTATTGAGTTGTGACGTAGCCAACATGGTGTCATGTAGCATAATATTGACAAGGCATGATTATTGCAACTCACTACTCTATGGGACGTCTGGCAAAAAAACATTACCAAGCTACAGTGTGTACAATATTCCCTGGCATGTGTCCTGACGGGTACTTCAAGATCTGACCATCTCCGTTTAGTGCTTGCCGAGCTGCATTGGCTTCTGGTTGCTAAACATATACGTTACAAGGTCGCACTCATTACACATAAAGTGCTTGCCACAAATGAACCACAATACTTTGCTGATCTCGTCAAGGAGCATAAACCATCACGCAAAACTCCGGTCATCCTCGCAGCGGCTTTTGGCGAACTATCGAAGAAAGACGGTCACTGCATCGTGCAGTTTCAGATGTGCTTCTACGGCCGTCTGGAACGCTCTTCTCTCCGACATTAGGAAGCCACTGAAGCGATGCACTTTTAAATCCAGATCGAAAACTAATTTAGAACTGCTTTTTGTGTTTAGTTTGTTGTCGTTCCTCCACTCCTCCGAGTATCACGGTTGGCTATGTATGGTACAAAAGAAGTTCATCATACATACTTACAGTTACTGCATCGCGCAGTAACTGTAAGATTTTTTATTCACTTTATTTTAATGTTTATTATGTTATTGTTATTATTTTTTCTTTCTACGTGACTTTACCGAAAGAACCATAGAATACATACTTACAACTGTCACAATACAAGGATGTAATTTTATTCAAGAAGCAATTCTCTTTCCTGCAATTTTTAGTCGCATTAATAATTATTATGTTATTATTTTAAAGAGCATATTAGAAAAGTAGGATTCATATTAAGTGCCAGAGGAAAAGCAGGTCTATTAGGATACAAACCAGTCAACTAAAAATTAATTGTTGCAAGATTCAAGGGACAACCTTTAAATATTTCGGTAATCCAGGTTCATGAACCAACATCGGACAGCACAGAGGAGGCTATTGAAGAGTTGTGTGATAAGATGAAAGACACCTTGAAGGAATTATCCAGAAAAGATATTAAGATAATTGTAGGAGACTGAAATGCGAAGATTGGACAGGATAACACCGGATGGGAGCGTATAATGCAACGGCATGGGTATGGAGAAAGAAATTAAAGGGGAGAAGATTTACTACAATTTGCTGCAAAACATGATATGTTGATTTGTAATACTACGTTTCATCAAAAAGACTGCAAAAAATACATGGAAGACACCAGATGGAAAAATAAAAATATGATAGACTTGGTAATGGTAGATATTATCGATATATATAGATCACTATGAATGAGTGCAATTGTATTTCTGCAGAACATCCTCGTCAAGGTTTATATAACCAAAAATTACATTAGGCCTGCAGGGCTCCCTGATGACAAGCAGGAAATTGACAAACAAATTATAAAAAAAAACAGTTGAGGAACTCCATTGGTTTGCCAAAAAAAATATGGTTATTATATGTTTGTGTTTAAATCAATTGCAAAATACATGTATGTGTTCATTGCTTTAGCACTTGGAAAACAATTGCAAACTAAAGATGCAAAGAGAGGTGATCTTCACGCCTGGGAACAGTTTTGCCTTCTTTACTCGTTTTCCCCATGCCACATTCGAGGTTTCAAGAGCAGTCTTTAGCCTTTCATAGCTGACTTTTGTAGAGGAAATTACTCGTAATGTAGAGACGCACCTGGCATGTGGAGAGTCTTACAAGTAATGTAGATGCTTGCTAGTAATGTGATGAACCTGACTAGTCATGTAAATATGCTTGCGAGTATTCTGGAAAGTGTTGCTGGTGTAGTCTTAATGGCAATGTGGAGAGCCTGACTAGTTATGTAATACGCCTTAATGATAATGTAAAGGAGGTTTACGAGTAACGAAGTAAGCTTGACTAGTGATATAAAGAAGCGTACTAATAATGTGATAAGTGTTACCAGTAAAATATTATTATTAATTTGGAGAGCGTTAAATATAAGGTAGTAAACATTACTAGTAATGTAATGAGTCCTAGTTTTATGTTGTAAACCTACTTGTAATATAACAAGTGGTGAATTGTACTGCAAAGTTTGACTAGTAATCTGGAGACCCTTACTTGTCATGTAGTATGCCTTACTAGGCATCATGCATTGCCATCTTACTAACAATATTGTATTAATAATGTAGTCAGCCTGATTAGTAATGTAAAAATCCTTATTACTGATGTAGTAAGCCTGACCAATAATGGAAAGGCCCTTGCTAGTATGGTAATATAGATTTAACAAAGCTTAAGAGAGGCTCGCTAGTATTGTAGAATGTTTCTAGCATTGTAGAGAGTATTACCTGTGAACGTGTAGTCTGCATATTCAGGTTCAGGTAGAGTTTCGGATGGACTGATGGCGCAGTAAGTATCTGGTTGAATTTGTCCCGAATTGGAGACATTGTTTACATTGTTCGAGGCCGAGTCTGACGTGTTGCTCCTCTGTTGAAGATAAACACATACGTATACATATATTGGGCCCCGTTCAAACCTTTCCAAAACACCCAAAACGATTCTGCTAACCTGTACAGTGAACTTTCGATTATCCATTGGTAGTAGTTTACACGTGCACTGGATACAATAATTATAAGCTACTCCTCACTCATTAGGAGTCAGTGACTCAGTGCTCACTACAACCACATCTGAGATTAAACCTTAAACAATAAAACAAATGACTCATTCTATGCCTTCATTCCAATTTAACATAAGTAAACAATAAAAACAGATATTCTCTACTAATTTACATATGTTCAGCATTATACTTTTTTATATTCGGGCCAGACCTTTCCCTGATTACCACGGATAATAGAGAGTTGAACGTAACAGAAAACATGATGATGAAAAATAGAAATAGGTTTTACCCTTTAAAAAAAAATTCCGGTCATTACGAGTGCTCCTAAAATATTATTTTACTATTCTTAGTTTTTTCGGTAAAGTCACGTTGAAGAGAAACAACAAAATAACAAAACATATATAAAACAATAAAAAAATTCTCACGACGTTTCGACCATAACTCAAACGGTCATCATCAGGTGTGTCGGTTTGCATAAATTTATTTTTATTTTTAAAACGGCACATTTATTTATAAAAAAAAACGTTGGCATCACGCGCAGCGATTGGCAGTTTGCCCAGGACTAGTCTATCTATTTTTTTGAAAAGAGGAGGGGGGAAACGATTTTTTTTTTATAATGTATGCTGTCTGAAAGCCACTGTAAGCGTGAACAATCAATCAAGAACTGAAATGATTTATCAAATCTTTCCAATGATTGCTAAGATAGAATCCATCTTCTCAGTTGAAATTGTCTCTGTGCTTGTATATGTGGATAGCCTCATGAACGAATCTCTCATGGAAGCCAGATGGCTTACAAAGAACCTCCGTCTTGGAAAAGTCAATGGCATGTGAGCCTACTGAATTAGAACAATGATCTGCTACGGCCGAGGTGTTGGTCCTACCGTGTTTAAGGTCTGCTTTATGTTCACGAATGCGGTCCGAGACATGGCGTTTGGTTTCTCCAATGTAACTACTACCACAGAGGCAACTTAGTTTGTAGACACCAGGGTATTGTATGTCCGGAATCACATCTTTTACAGACGGAACCAGATCACGGATTTTATGTAATGTGTTGAAACGGACCTGGATCTTGTGTTTATTCAAGATTTTGGAGATCTTTTTTGTGATCCCAGCAATGTAGGGTAAAGTGATGGTTTTGAAAGGCTCCTCAAGAGGGTTCTTCTTCATGGTTTGAGTGATAGCTTTGCGGATTGTATAGTCGGAGTAACCATTAGCCCTAAGAGCTTGGTGTACGTGCTTGAGTTCACTGCTTATGTGTTCCTGGTCGGATATGCATTGGGCTCTATGATACAGAGTCTTGATGAGAGAATTCTTCTGTGATGGATGGTGGTGGGAATCCGGTTTCAGATAAGCATCCGTATGGGTAGCTTTCCTGTAGACAGAGTGGATCATTGAACCATCAGGTCTCTTTTTAATTAGGACATCCAAAAAAGGTATCTTGCCATCTATTTCGACTTCCATGGTAAATCTGATGGCTGGGTGTATGGAATTGATGTGGTCGAAGAATTGGTCTAGAGCAGGCCGGCCATGTGGCCAGATGACAAAAGTGTCATCCACGTACCTCTTCCATAAGGTTGGGCGCAGAGTGGCAGTCTGGATGGCGTCAGTCTCAAATTTCTCCATGAAAATGTTAGCTATAACTGGAGAAAGGGGGGAGCCCATTGGGGTGCCCTCAGTTTGTTTGTAGAAAGTTCCATTCCAAGTGAAGTATGTATTGGTTAAACAGTGTCTCACCAGGGGGGGTACCTCAGTGTTTAGTCCTTGATGAACCAAGTCTTCAATGATTGCAATGGTGTCATGTACAGGAACTTTGGTGAATAAGGAAACTACATCAAAACTGACAAGCAGGTCGTCTGGGGACAGGGAAATACCCTTGATTGTTGATACCAGGTGAGTAGAATTTTGTACCGCAGAGGTGGTCTTTCCAGTGAAAGGACGCAGGATTTCAGACAAAAAACGAGCTAGTTTGTAGGTGGGGGAGCTGATAGTAGAGACTATGGGACGAAGAGGTGTATCAACTTCATGTATTTTTGGTAAGCCGTATAATCTTGGTGGCCTGGCAGCAGAAGGTTTCAACGAAAACTGTTTAGATTGATCAATTAATGCGGTTGAATCAGAAATTATTTTGTTGGTTTGTGTGACGAGACTGTTGGTGGGATCTCTTTTTATTTTTGTATAACTACCATCGTCGAGTAATTCTTTAATTTTGTTGTTGTATTCTATTTTATCCATGATGACAGTAGCATTGCCTTTGTCAGCCAGGAGAATAAAATAAATAAAAAGAGATCCCACCAACAGTCTCGTCACACAAACCAACAAAATAATTTCTGATTCAACCGCATTAATTGATCAATCTAAACAGTTTTCGTTGAAACCTTCTGCTGCCAGGCCACCAAGATTATATGGCTTACCAAAAATACATAAAGTTGATACACCTCTTCGTCCCATAGTCTCTACTATCAGCTCCCCCACCTACAAACTAGCTCGTTTTTTGTCTGAAATCCTGCGTCCTTTCACTGGAAAGACCACCTCTGCGGTACAAAATTCTACTCACCTGGTATCAACAATCAAGGGTATTTCCCTGTCCCCAGACGACCTGCTTGTCAGTTTTGATGTAGTTTCCTTATTCACCAAGGTTCCTGTACCTGACACCATTGCAATCATTGAAGACTTGGTTTATCAAGGACTAAACACTGAGGTACCCACCCTGGTGAGACACTGTTTAACCAATACATACTTCACTTGGAATGGAACTTTCTACAAACAAACTGAGGGCACCCCAATGGGCTCCCCCCTTTCTCCAGTTATAGCTAACATTTTCATGGAGAAATTTGAGACTGACGCCATCCAGACTGCCACTCTGCGCCCAACCTTATGGAAGAGGTACGTGGATGACACTTTTGTCATCTGGCCACATGGCCGGCCTGCTCTAGACCAATTATTCGACCACATCAATTCCATACACCCAGCCATCAGATTTACCATGGAAGTCGAAATAGATGGCAAGATACCTTTTTTTGGATGTCCTAATTAAAAAGAGACCTGATGGTTCAATGAGCCACTCTGTCTACAGGAAAGCTACCCATACGGATGCTTATCTGAAACCGGATTCCCACCACCATCCATCACAGAAGAATTCTCTCATCAAGACTCTGTATCATAGAGCCCAATGCATATCCGACCAGGAACACATAAGCAGTGAACTCAAGCACGTACACCAAGCTCTTAGGGCTAATGGTTACTCCGACTATACAATCTGCAAAGCTATCACTCAAACCATGAAGAAGAACCCTCTTGAGGAGCCTTTCAAAACCATCACTTTACCCTACATTGCTGGGATCACAAAAAAGATCTCCAAAATCTTGAATAAACACAAGATCCAGGTCCGTTTCAACACATTACATAAAATCCGTGATCTGGTTCCGTCTGTAAAAGATGTGATTCCGGACATACAATACCCTGGTGTCTACAAACTAAGTTGCCTCTGTGGTAGTAGTTACATTGGAGAAACCAAACGCCATGTCTCGGACCGCATTCGTGAACATAAAGCAGACCTTAAACACGGTAGGACCAACACCTCGGCCGTAGCAGATCATTGTTCTAATTCAGTAGGCTCACATGCCATTGACTTTTCCAAGACGGAGGTTCTTTGTAAGCCATTTGGCTTCCATGAGAGATTCGTTCATGAGGCTATCCACATATTCAAGCACAGAGACAATTTCAACCGAGAAGATGGATTCTATCTTAGCAATCATTGGAAAGATTTGATAAATCATTTCAGTTCTTGATTGATTGTTCACGCTTACAGTGGCTTTCAGACAGCATACATTATAAAAAAAATTCGTCTCCCCCCTCCTCTTTTCAAAAAAATAGATGGACTAGTCCTGGGCAAACTGTCAATCGCTGCGCGTGACGCCAACGTTTTTTTTTTATAAATAAATGTGCCGTTTTAAAAATAAAAATAAATTTATGCAAACCGACACACCTGATGATGACCGTTTGAGTTATGGTCGAAACGTCGTGAGAATTTTTTTTATTGTTTTATATATGTTTTGTTATTTTGTTGTTTCTCTTCAACGTGACTTTACCGAAAAAACTAAGAATATGAATTACTGCAGTCACGAAAGCTTTAAATCAAAATTTATTATTTTACTCTTATAAAGCAACCGTGTAAGTGAGCTGTGTATGTGTGTATGAATGTATGTATGCATGAGACACAGACCTTGATCTTCATTTTCTTCCAAGAATAGTGGACAGCCCAACAAATGATTACTGTGCATAATGTTGTCACCCCAATGTAAACCGCTGGAAGGTTTTCATGCGATGGTTCTGCAAACAAGGATAGATTGTAATTATAGTTGTGTGCCTGCAAGTCTGTGAATGTCATGACCCAAAGATGTGTGGCACAGCTACTCGTACAGCATTGACACTGCTTTAGAGCCCAATTTACTTGTTGATGAATGTTCCTTGCCAAATTATAAATTATTCATTTTTATGAAGATCGACCAATATCTCCGCCACCAACCGTGGATGTGCGACTCGAGCCCAATTTATTTGCGCACGATGAACATTGCACTATGAACCTGGGTAACCGAAGCTTTATTCCTCACCATGGCTGAGATCAGTGGCAAGTGACATCTGAACTCCCTCACCCCACTGTTCAGCATGGCAAAGTATGGTGAAACAGCCTCTTGAAAGGCATGACATAGAGATGCCGTTATCCAGCATGGCAAAGTATGGTGAAACAGCCTCTTGAAAGGCATGACATAGAGATGCCGTTATCCAACAGTAGGTTGACATAAGGGTTGACGATTATTTGATTTGATGTGTAATATATTAAAATATTTCATTTGTCAGTATTTATGCATCTGCACGCTATATCATACCAGGTAATACTCACTAATTTAAAGCTTTCCTCGAGGCACATTGTTATTTTGTGTTTTAGTATCAAATTAAATGTTATGAGACACTCCAGGCTGCTTTCACTTGCCCGTTTCATGAGTTTGACCAATGCCCACCTTAAATAACTGTCCAATACATATTCTGTTGTGTTTTTAAAATTGTGTCCCTCCCTGAATTATTTTCTTTTGTTCAGATAACTTGTGTACGTGACTTTTTTGTGTTTCAAATTAATCTGTGACAAAAACTTTACTGCTATTTTAAGTTCTTCAGTAATTTCTAGTAATATATGAACATTAATTGTAAAAACAAATTCTGCAGAGAAAAAAGACATCGTAAAGAAAATGTTACAGACGCTGATGTATTACACAAGGAGACAGAACAAGGAACAAATGGATGAAAGAACAAATTCAATTCAGAGACATTGTATTGACTGTTAAGTGGTCTTGGGCAGAACACATGGAAAGAAGGGCTGATGGCTAATGGAGTAAATCAATAACAGTGGAAACCAGATAAACTATTTACAATGAAACTATTTTTATTTTACCAGCTAAGGCCGACTGAGCTATAGAGTCCTTTTTCAGAAGCGACCTGGTCACAAATGATAGCTCAAAGAAGTGGCCTATCATGTGGAAATGTATAGCAATCAAATAATGTAAATGCATGTCTCTAAATGTGGAGGGAAAAACCGGAGAAAAATCCACGCGACCACGGGGAGAACATGCAAACTCTAAATATACAGGCATCAGGGTCGGCATTGAACACACGTCCTCCTGCATACCCGGCGAGGTAGTTAACACCTCACCACTGTGGCAACCCTGAAGAAGCCATTGTACCCGAAAGGACATCCACCATAGATTTGGTATGATGAGATTAGCTCATGTGTGGGGACGATAAGGATTGTGGCATTTCTGAAACTAGCCTTGCATTAAACGAGTATATCTTCATGTAGCTTTTGGAAATCATGCATTAATAATTTGTGCACATGTAAACAAAGTAAGGATTACCTTCGGTTGATGTTGGTTTCGGTGAGATCAGTCCATTTTTTCTTTTGGTGGAAGGTTTACCTATCAGAGAATAGTTTGATAAATGGCATCTAGAGGCAGTGCATTACATTGTCTGAGCAGAGAACCACGGTTCCGTCAAAGGCGACTCAATAACGCGTGTGTTTCCTGAAAGTGATTGCTTTACATTGCGAGTCCACAGACTAACACTCGTGCATGACTGTTTCGTTTGTTGAATACAATTAACGGCCTTCCAGAATTGTTATAAATCGGTGTAACCTGAAGTTATATCATGAGAGTCACAATGTAGATTTATTTTAATGCATTACCTTTGATTACGCCGAGCTTAGTTTCATAGAATTCCCCAGGAGTGGTCAGCTCACACAGGTAAACGCCTGCATCTTTACCATTGACATCAATAATTAACAATGAAGAAGTTATATATTTTACATATTTTGTTGTCATACTGTCAATTGAGAGAGGGTAGTATGGTTGTCCTTGTAGAGCAATATGCCAGTTAACACTGCCATTGATTTGTCTTGCAGAATTGGTTTGGCAGGGAATCAAGACATGTTCCCCAATTCTAGCTTTTATATTTTTGTTAATCTTCACACCTGCAGACAAAAAATAAGCACATTTTACCAACAATAATCACATTTATTGCTACCTCAGCCAGTACACATGATAAGCTGAAACCACCTGCCTCTCAGCCATGCCCAATCACTCGTTCCACCCAACCAGTGAGTGGGGCTAACCCTTGATGGTGTTGGCCCAACTTAATGCGAATAGGTCCAACCTACTATTGTGCCAACCATGCCCACTTCACAGCCCCATTATTTGCATATGAATGTATGTTGAACTTCTTGAGCACCGTATGTAGCCAACCATGCGAACTGTGAGGCCAGGAAATTTAACAATAGGACAAAATAAAAAATGTTGCAATCTTTTGGACTTCAAAACAGCCTTTTTGAGACCAGGAAATGTTAAGTGGCCTTACCATTCTCCAAAGCACCATAACTATGCATAACACTTAGCCACTCGTGGAAATTCCACATTCTAGTTATCGCTCAAATATTGTGTAGCTTCAGCACGAGAAAGAGGTGATTTGAATTGGTGAAGCAGGATATGAAGGACTGTGGAGTGGATGTGAAGATGGCCCAATTAGGAATGAGTGTAAATGAAATGACAGGTAGTCCATAAGCCCAGACCAGATATCCCACCTGCCAGTACGACCTGAGGTGGCATCATTCTGGTGGTTCATATTTCTGGCCAACAACAGTACATCTTGTGATAACCATTTCGACTTGTGGATGATCAAATATCAAGTATTCCACTCGTATTTACACTAAATAAATCAATTGGTATGACTAAATAGTTGCTATCTTCGGTGGTACCAATTTCTTCTGTGGCTCATGGGCTAAATGAAAAGATCCCCTGAACTTGAGTTAATTTGAGTCCAATTCATAGTCCCACTTTCACCGACTAGAACCCTCTGAGATAACGACCATCAATTTGGAAAAACGTGGGTTGTAATGATCACAACCTCTTTCATTAAACTTGCATAATAATGCATTAATAGAAACATGTATTCGTGTTATTTTTGGTATAGTATGTGCTTTGTTCAAAATGAATGTGTTTGCGTGTTACTTTCTTACCTTTGATGATGAGAATATGTATATCAACAAAACAATTTTCAGATTTACATGACCATTGACATCTGTGCAATCTAGAGCCCATCCAGTCAGGATTTTCAATGGTAAGGGAGTGGTTATCATGTTGAATGTATTTATTGACATGCTTTTCTTTGTCACTATAATCGTTAATGTGTTCCCATGTACCTGTAAACACAAACCAAACAATATTGCTAACTTGGCCTTTGCAGATTGTCAGACAATGAAGGAGGATATTTTGGTGTTGTTTTGCTTTGACTTGCTCAGTTTTTCCGGGGATATTGCCTGCAGGGTGTGGCAAAACAACCACAACAAGACGATACTCAATGCACATACATTACACATGAAATGTTACATTTCTGAGAAATACAGTACAGTATGAAGAAAGGCAAATTTCCCAAAAATTTACGTTATTATTATTTTTTCTGTTATTAAAACAGTCATTATGTAGAGCCCCTTTATCAATCCACTACTATATGAAGGCCTCCAAATGCATCGTCAGTCATGAGAGGATGTATCACCATTTTTCACCACTCTGCTCAGAGCGTGAATTGAACACAGGTGGCTGGGTTCTGAGTGCAATGTGTTAAGCACTGCCCCAGCACTCCTCCCTATGTGTGAGGCAGTGTTGATAATAATACATGGAATACATTTCTTGTAATCATAAGTTATGCTATCAAAACCATAAGAATGAGCCGACTAAACCACATCTGATTCTTATTCACTTCAGACTGCATCATCATCATTATTAGCCATGATCAATACAAAGCTGTATGAAAGCCTCCCCAACCATTTTACGATCATGTGCTGTATTAATCCACCAAGCACTTGCACACGAGCTGATTTTATCACTCCACTGCCTCTGTGGGTGTGCTGTGGAACGAGTTCCATTCCCCGGCTGCCACTCCATCATCACTCTTAACCATTGGTCATCATTCCTTCTAGAGACATGCCCTGCCCAAACTCACATTTATATTGCCAACATTTGTTTGAACACACAATGCCTGTCTGGGTTATTAATCTTCCAGTCTCATCAGTCGAATCAAGCTTGTTAAACAAACACTGGCTGTGTACCAGATGCTACTGTCAAGAGTATTCCATTCAGGGACGCCTATCGGTGCAATGAAAAATACAACATGCACTGTTGTGGATCATTCTAGGGAATGCAATACAGTAAATGTATTATGTATCTCCAAAAAATGTTATTTAGTCCATTAGCCAGTTGTCTTTCTAACTCGTGTTAATTTGCAATCATCAGCAGTATTTGTTGAGACAAAAATCCAAACCAAACTCAGTATTCATGTTGTGACCACCAACACAAACATATATTGTTTTATATGAGGCTGAATGTGTTGATGTGACCACACAGGGTAAAGAGAGGTCACAATCTCGCCACGCTTTCAGACTTGCCCTTAAACGAAGGTGCGCATTGGAAGGGTGTACGTACTCATGACAGCAGCCCAACCAGCGACGATGCAGGCGACACGGAGCCAAGCAGATGATCCAGCCATGTCCAGCTACACACCTCTCACTTCCTTGTGCACACTTCCTTGTGCACCTTTCAGTGCGAAAAAAGCGTGTTGTTTGTTTCCTCTTTCTTGCTGGTGTGTGGGGAGTTTTCGTTATGTTTCCGCTGTGGTCCCACCTCAACCAAATAGGCTGCCGGAAAAATAAAACACATTCCTGCGGAGGGGGCTGGTAGGAAAATTTGAAAATGAAAAGTGAGCAGAATTATAAAACGACGCCAGAAAGTGCAGTGTAGAAGAGGTCGCACCAGAAAGTGCAGTGTATAATCCACTGCCTCCTGTGAATTAACCCGGGTTGGGCTTCCAGTCCATATAAGGGCACCACGGGGTGACCAGCCCCTCCCCACCCAGTCCCACCCCACCCAGCCCCACCCCTCCCACCCCCCACCCAGCCCCACCCCTCCGACGTGGACAGACATCCACAATTAATCCTCTGCCTCCTCTGAATTGATCCCGGTTGGGCTTCCAGTCCACTACGTTTCCTACCAGTAAAACGTCGGTACGAGCTTAACACCATTGCACACATGATATTGCCTTGCTGCAGTAGCACACCCAGCAAATACAGTTCTCTGATGATCTTTTTCACGTGATTGTAATGAAGCTCATTGATTGTAATGAAGATCCAGCTCAACGCCTTAACATTTAATGCATTAAGCACGTTGTCATTCCTCAATCTCCGTTATATCGAGAGCTCGATTCACGTGTTGGCAATTTCTCCTTATTTTTGGCAAACGTGTGCCGATGTCTTCATCACATTCGATGGAGAAAATAACTACGATGTAAATTTTGATTTAAAGCTTTCGTGACTGCAGTAATTCATATTCTTAGTTTTTTCGGTAAAGTCACGTTTTTTCGGTAAAGTCAAAAATATTCTCACGACGTTTCGACCATAACTCAAACGGTCGTTTGAGTTATGGTCGAAACGTCGTGAGAATATTTTTTTTATTGTTTTATATATATTTTATTATTTTGTTGTTTCCCTTCAACGTGACTTTACCGAAAAAACTAAGAATAAGATGTAACCTATTCATATAGAGTTTTTTTCATGCTTTTGCATAATTCAAAATTGAGTTGTAAAATCCACAAATGTGATTGCCCCAAACGAATGAGAAAATATGTTACCCAATTCAACCGTGCAAGAAAATGCCGCCGATCAAAACCAGCTGATGGGAATTGTAGCTTTGCATGCTTGCCCTGCCGATTGACTGAGCCGACCAATCAGGCTCTATCCATCTCACATACGAACGAACTCACATTCCAAGTCTCGCAGACACACAGAATGTGTGTACAATATTTGAAATGTAAGTAATGGCTCACAAAATCACTTTTGCGGACACTAGAATGTGTGCGCGATTGATTAGTAGCACTTAGCCAAAGGCTGCTTTAAAATCATCATCATCATCATCTTTGTCTTGATCATTAAAGTAATCTTCATTTATATGTGAGCCTCCATTGCGGTATTTGTTGCAAAACTTAAGAGCAGAAAAAAGTCTGCTCTAAATTTTAATTTTAAAAACGCAGATAAATGTTGCAGAATTCAGACACCAAACATGCACGTGCATTTGGGTGAAGTGCACCCCCACATACTGGAGGCGCTTTCTGTGCAAGCCATGACCACAATTCGTGGTTCACGCGATCCCACTGATTGGTGAAAACGTTCTGCTATCCTTGACTCGACCATTATTCCTCCCTAACCTCACAATAAACTAAACAATTTTTATTTTACCAGGTAAAGCTCACTGAGCAATGTAACTCTTTTTCAGAAGCAACCTGGTCACAAATGAAAGCCCAATGAAGTGGCTTATCATGTGCACATTTCTAGCAGCCAAATACTCTCAACGCATATTTCTAAATATGGAGGGAAACCCCACGTGGAGGGCATGCAAACTCAAAATATACAGGCGTCAGGGTCGGGGATCGAACCCAGGACCTCCTGCATACCAGGCGAGGTAGTGTATACATGTCTAGCAAACAATGCTTCTGCCAAAGACGTTTAACCTAACCATCAATCTGATGAAATTGGAAATGTTTGACCAACCTGCAGCATGTCAGAGGCCATCAGATCTATCTGTTGTCATAGATGGTGTGCAACATGGAATTAAATGTGATGCAAAGCTTATGGTCAACAATCTAGAAGTCATCACAACCCTGCTTCACGGTAGGGAATGCCAACCCCCATACCATCGGCCTAAGTATGACAATTTGCGATGAAAAACACCATTACGGTGCATTTTCTCTACTTGTTGTGATGGACCACACATTGTGAGAAAGTATAACGCTCCCACTGGTATAATATTGCATTACAAATGTGTATGGTTAATATTTAATCGATTGAAAGTTTTGTGTTGTCATTAGCGACACTAACACTATATAAAAGTTACATTATGCCATAGGCAGTTATAGAATGTTCATATTTTGTAAAAAAAACAATTTGGTTGTTTAAAGCTTTATATTAAAAAAAACACAGTTTAAGAATACAGTAGAATTGTTATGCTATGAAACTCTGGTTACCCTTACTATAGAACTCACTAATACATGCTCCTAGTCCTGCCACTAGGTAGCAGAGGGGTCCACGTTCTGCAAGCATAGATAAGGGAGGGCATAACTGTGGCCAAGAAGACCCAGAGCTTCGTATAGAGTGACAAGCCAGGCATCTTGCAAAGACATAAAAAGATAATGCCGCTCGACTGATTTAAAGTACTGTAAGAACTCCACTGCCGAACAAGGGCTGTTCATGAGCACACTGCCCTGGTATGGAAATGCCGCCACTCACTCTGAAATTACTCTATTACTGTACTCATGGAAGGTTGAGGGGTTGGTGTGTTTGATGACTTAAATGCCCAGGTAGTGGGGCTGATGGTATGGCCCTACTTCTTAGTGGCACCCTTCAGGTTCAGCAGAATGATCTCCAACCTATTTTTACCGTATTATCAGCTAACATTAAATGGTTTACAAGTTGGGAACCATCCCTTGACCACACCCTGGGATTGAACAGCCTCCTATTGTATTTGTACCAGATAGAAATTGCTCTGGTGCAGCCATGGAAAGCTTCCAAAACTACGTACCGGAAAAAAAAAGTTAAATATTGTGAGGACCAGAGACTGCACCCCAAGGTGATGGCTCTGACTCCTGCCCACGCAGCTTTACCCAGGCCTGTTTGCCTTCATAATGGACCTGAATTATCTATTTGTTTTCTCATTTGTATTAGATAGGCAAAAGCCACTGTGAAAATGATTAGGTTCTAATATGAGATTGGATTTTTTCAGCAGCTAGATGGATTGTTGCATCACAATAACATAAGAGATACGTTATTTAATGTTAAATGATTCAACTAGAAAACCCCTTGCGATGGAACATCTCATTTCAAAGGGTGTTCAGGTCGTTGATGGACACACACATAGCAAACTCGCAATGACACGTACACAAACATTTAAAAATCTATAAATACCGTGGTGACAACTTTAGCTGACCTTATTTGAGCAGTGGATAAATGCATTGCTAATGATGATAATGGCAACTCTACTCCAAACAGTACATGAAGGAAGTGTTGTATCTCGCACTGGAATTTTAAACTTTAACTATTCTTTTCAGGCAGTGCAAAGTTGCAGAATAAAATAACATGTAAAATGTGACCCAACTTCCGTGTGAATACAGCTACATTTACACATAGTCCCCCTTTCTTGAGTGCAGTATTTTTACTATATTATTTCGATCATGATGAGTTATAACATTTTTTATAATGCTATAGAGGCTCAACCTGATGGTTCTATAACACTGTAACAAAAGATTGTATTTGTTCCTGGATTGTAAGTGTTATTTCCTAATTTCTTATGCCTAAAAAGTACAGAAAATGGCTATTATTTCCCACACACTTTGCTTTTGTGACCAAGACAGTAATATTTTGAAATGTACCTATTTTCCAGAACATTCCAGATAGATTCAGTGCTGAGTAAACTTGGAGTAACTTCGAGAACATTCTAGAAGTTTTCAGTAATATAAATAGTCGTATAAATACAGGTGCCTTAAGCTCACCAGTTCAGTTTAGTTCCAGCTAAACTAAACTGAACTGGTGGGCTTCCAGCTAAGTGGATACATATCTGCATTTTTCTGAGATGGCATCAAGAGGCTGCAAGCATCCGGCAGACGCATTTTGCTATATCTGCGGCCAATTTATCAAGACAAGAGTGAAAACGTACTCTGTGAAAGCATCTCCTAAGTCCATTCTCTCCTCCGGCCACTATGGGCAGGAATTCCACACAACTCCCCTTCTGCGCCCCGCCCCCCCTCTCTCTCTATTTAAGGCCTCGACACAGAGACATTGTCTTTCTGTGTGCCTATGTGTGTGTATATCTCTGTTTGTCTCTGTGTGAGTCTCTCTCTGCTTGTGTGTCTATCTGTGTGTCTCCGTGTCTATGTTTTGTCTCTCTCTCAAATTTTGCAATCTTTGGAAGAACTTAATCAACCAGGTGGGGTGTTGACTTATGTTAGCCGACTCTCTGTGTTGTATTGCATTATATTTCCAAGTTTACTATGTTTGTTTTCTCATTCATTTGTACCTGATTATGGTTGCTTGTGTTGCAACTAAGCGTCGTATTCTATTATTATTTAATTTAATTTCTTTCTACGTGACTTTACTGAAAGAACCAAAGAGTAAAATTTGCTAAGATGCGTGAGGCCTACAAGGCATATTTCAGCATGCCTGTCGGGGATCAAGACAAACCCTGGGCACCTCATTTCACCTGAGAGCAATGCAAAAATACTCTGGAAGGTAATATGTACAATTGTTGCTCAGAATTTTAGGTTATAAAATTGGCTTAAAAAATGTAAAAGTTTTTAATTTTAAAATGTTTTACAATTTTCAATGTTATTGAAAAAATATATCATATATGAAAAATATTGTGAGAATCTCTTACACATTAGTCATGGGTGAAATAAATATATTTTTGTAGGATGGTACAGAGGGGAAAAGAGAGCCATGAAGTTCGCTATCCCAAGAATTTGACCACTCAAGAAACTGCTACTTCTGCATGGTCGACCCTTCCAAACGTCGGACTGGCAAGAATGCACCTGCTATCACGTATCCGGACTTTCCTTCATCCATCGCCCCGGTGCCACACTGCCATGACCTCCCCGTACCCACTCCTCCAGAGAGAGAGCAACCGTCT